CGAGCAAGCATAGAGTGTGACATTTGTAGCATTACTATCAATCATACCGCGGCCGTGACTGCGTAGAGAAGAAGAAAGAAAAAAAATGTCTCTAAAAAAGAGGCTACATTCACCCAGCAAGCATGCTCTGAGGCATAACACAACGGCAATCTCTCCTAGACATTTTTGTCGTAAAACGAGCGCCCAGATAGTTACCGCCCAACCATGTCCAAACAAATCGCTGGAAAAACTGCATCATGCAATGTGGAATTGGAGATGGAAAAAAGGGTATACACAAGAATTGAAGTAGTGTAGAAGAAAGCAAAATAGAAAGCAAAAAAGCGCTTCTCGCCAACGGTGCTCATGATGAGCTCTCCGTCTTGACTGGTGTGGCGCCCTTGAACTCTCCGTGTAGTATTTCCAGCAGCTTGCGTAGCGTATCCGAGTTGCTGGTTCGTCGGCGTGTTGAAGTGCCCTCGTCATCTTCTCCCTCGGCGTCGTCGTCCTGGGTGAGCAGCTCAATGGTTTTTCGGAGCTTTTCGTAGGCAGCGTTGAGCTCAGAGTGCGAAACCTCGAGTTTGGTGTACTTTTCACTCAGCACCGCAAGCTGGGCCTCGAGATCTCGGGCGTGCTTTTCCTTGCGCTCGCGGAACGCACGCTGGGCAGCGCGATTTTGAGCTCGTCGGCGCTGGTATTTGTTAGATGGCACGTCGAATGCGTGGGTTGGGTCATGACCTACGCCAGAGGTGGTGTGTGTTCGCTCGGCAGGCGCCGGGGTGTGGACGGCTGCAAAGCTGGGCTCGACATGTTGCAAGGGCCGCGGACTGCAGTACGGGCTGTCGTGGTCGGATCCAAAATCCGAAGGCGTCATGGGCATGGGATATGAGCCGAATTGCATGGGCTCGTCGACAATGTGGGGGTAGTAGGCTTGGTGGTGTATTTGGGCGGGGAATTGGTCGTATGTGGACGAAACCTTGTGGACATGAGCTTGGAACAGGCAGGTATTGCATGGCAATGAGCTTACGGGGGATCCGCTGAGACTGGGGACTTTGGACAGATCCGGAGGCATGTCATAGACGGGGGCTTGGTGGGGCAGGGGAGCAATGTAGTTGCCCTGAGCCATCCAGTAGTCAAAGGAATGAGAATCCATTGCGGTGGGGGATGAGTGGGTGGCGGTGGAGAGGACCGAGTGCGGTAGCGGTAGTGGTAGTGGTAGTAGTAGTATTGTAGAGTGTCGCCGGGTATGGAAGAGAGCCGTGGTGCGAGCGTCGTCTGGGCAGATTGCTTATGTGGTGGAGACGGCTTACACAAGGGCGGCGGCGGGCGAGCTGAGATCTTATAGAGGCAGGGCGCACATTGTCTTGGGAACAGCGTCTAGTCGCTACACATGGCGGGCGGAGGCGCGGACAGGGATGCGGGATTGGGGGGGGG